ATTATATATATATATATATATATATATATATATATATATATATATATAATATATATATATATATATATATATATATATATATATATATATATATATATATATATATATGTATTTTATTAAAATTCTTAATATCTATTCTAGATATTTTTTATATATCTATATATATATATATATATATATATATATATATATATATATATATATATATATATATATATATTATTTTTTTTATTTTTTAGACTAAAATTTTAACAAATATATTTTTTATATTTCGTTGGATGCTCCCATTATCAAAAATATGGAATTTTTCCACATCCGAGCAGAAATAGATAGGGCTGAAAAGTCGTGGTCTTTTTTCTATTTTTTTCCAATTTTTTCCCATTTTTTTGGATTAGAGATCTAAAAGATATTTTTTTTATATTTCGTTTTTTATACATCGGAGCAAATATGAGCAGGGCTGAAAAGTCTCGGTCTTTTTTCTCTTCTTTTCCCCAATTTTTTTTGAACTAAAATTCTAGCAAAGATATTTTTTATTATCAAAAATATAGAATTTTTCCACATCCGAGCAGATATGAGCAGGGCTGAAAAGTCTCGGTCTTTTTTAATTTTTTTTTTTTCATTTTTTTTTCTGGATGAAGATTCTAATGAATATTTTTTTTTTATATTTCGTTGGATGCTCCCATTATCAAAAAGATAATTTTTTTTTCACATCGCAGCAAATATAAGCAGGGCTGAAAAGTCTCGGTCTTTTTTTCTATTTTTTTCCAATTTTTTTATTTATTTTTTTGGATTAGAATTCTAAAAAATGTTTTCTTTATATTTCGTTTGATGCTCCCATTATCAAAAATATAAAATTTTTCCACATCCGAATAGAAATGAAAAGGGCTGAAAAGTACCGGGCCAACAAAAATTTAATAGTTTCCTCTCTTTTCTGAAATTATTTCTTCCTCAAAATGTTATTTATTCCTCTTTTATTCCCGTATTTTACATCTTTTAATTTACACCTTGGCACATTCCTTCATTTCATTTTCCAACCATAAATGGCTGTTAATACGGAAATAAAACACAACGAGATAACCTGCATGCATCTTTTGGCTAAAAATGGTCGCCAAATAGTTTTCCTTGTGTTACAAAAAAAAAAAAAAAAAAAAAAAAAAACAACGTCACAATACTAAACCCGCTCATATAGCATTGGGCGACTGGTTCGATTGTGGCTTTACTTTTCGCCATAAAGGATGAGAAAAATGCTTGCCTTTTTTCCTCGGCCAGCATTGAACAAGTGTTGAAGAAGATGATAACTGATATCAGGAAGCATTTTTTCCCAATAAAATTCGAAAAGAAGAAAACATGTTTTTTTTTGCGTTATGCCTTCCCAGACAAGATATTTTTATGGTCCGACTGAATTTTCTTTCTTTCTTGGCGAGGTAAACTTCTTTGTTTTCAAAAAAAAAAAAAAAAAAAAAAAAAAAAAAAAAAAAAAAAAAAAAAAAAAAAAAAAAAAAAAAAGAGAGAGAGAAAGAAAAAATAAAAAAAACCAGTTGGGAGTTGCCTAAACAAGATGACAAGTAGTCTGTGTTTCTGTCTGTCTGTCCGCCTATTTCTGCTGTGACCTTAAGTCATACGAAGAGCAAAGAAATGTTGGCAACAGGTTTTCCCCATAAAGAAAAACCACACAACAAGAAGAAAACAAATGTTGATATCACATGCCATATTAGCCAGGAAAAACTTGGATGCTTGGCTAGATCGGCAGGCACTGAAATAATAAAAAGGAAAAGTTTTTTTTGGAAAATTCACATGCGGAAATTGGGGGGCCAGCAGCAATGGCAAGCTATAACTTTAAATGGATTGGGGTTGAGCCGCGCCTAATATGGTGGAAACCGTAGGAAAAAAAGGAAAAAGAAAATATGCACCAAATATGGCAAATATGTGAAAAATTATGAGATTTTAACACAATTTTCCTCGCACCACACACACACACCCAACTTTTCGTTCATTGTGTCAAGGGGTATTGTTTATCTATTCTCTCCTTCTTTGCTTTGTTTTGCTTTTCAAATTAATGTCATTACAATTTCCTTTCTTCGTTTTTTTCCCATTTCTACACAAAAACCCACTTTTCCTTAATTTTTCTCCATTTTTTTCCACGACATGAAATGTGCATGTTCAGGCTTATGGTCAATCAGGTAATGCTCAAGTGACCATATCAGCAGCAGCTGCTGCTGCTGCAACTGCCTCTGAGACAGACCAGGAAATGTTTGAAAGAGAGAAAGAAAAAAAAAAACAACTGCAAAAACAACAAGAAAATTGTCTCAGGGGGAGAGTGTAGTATGGGGAAAGTGTTTTTGTTTTTGAAAAGAAGGGGGAAGATTTGAAATATTTTTTGTAGTATTTTCCCAGTTGCCACCAAAAAGGACATTTCGGTACTGAGTTTTTATAAAATATACAATTTATAAATTTTTAGGTTGGAGAACCTCAATTCATATACTGATAAATTTGTTTTCAAATACTTCTTTAGGTTCTCCCATTATCAAAAATATATTTTTTCCTCCGTAGTAGAGTAGAAATTAGCAAGGCTGAAAAGTCTCGGTCTTTTTTTTTTTTTTTTTGGATTCAAATTCTAAAAAATATTTTTTTATATTTCGTTGGATTCTCCCATTATCAAAAATATAAAAATTTCCCACATCCGAGCAGATATGAGCAGGGCTGAAAAGTCTCGGTCTTCATTTTTTTTGGATTCAAATTCTATAAAACATTTTTTTTTTATATTTCGTTGGATGCTTCCATTATCAAAAATATAAAAATTTCCCACATCCGAGCAGATATGAGGAGGGTTGAAAAGTTGCGGTCTTTTTTTTTCTATTTTTTTTTTTTGATTAAAATTTTAAAATTTATCTTTTTTATATTTCTTTGGATGCTCCCATTAACAAAAATATAAAAATTTCCCACATCCCAGCAGATATAAGCAGGGCTGAAAAATCTCGGTCTTTTTTCTATTTTTTTTGTTTTTTTGTTTGATTAAAATTCTAAAAAATATTTTTTTATATATCGTTGGATGTTGCCATTATCAAAAATATAAATTTTTTTCCACACCCGAGCAGATATGAGCAAGGCTGAAAAGTCTTGGTCTTTTTCTTCTAATTTTTTTTATTAAAATTCTGAAAAATATTTTTATGTTTCGTTGGATCCTCCCATTATCAAAAATATAAAAATTTCCCACATCCGAGCAGATATGAGCAGGGCTGAAAAGTTTCGGTCTTTTTTTCTATTTTTTTCCCATTTTTTATACCCTACACCACAAGGTGGTCAGGGTATTATGTCTTTGTGCATTTGTTTGTAACAGGCAAAAAAAAAACGAGATAGACCCATAGTTCCTTTTGATGGTCTGCATAGAATCATATTCTGAGTCGATTTATGCATGTCCGCCTGTCCGTCCGTCTGTCCATGTATTTTTGTAAACAAAGTACAGTTCGTATTTATTGCCCGATCCAGATGAAATTTTGCACAAATCATTTGTTTGGCCCTAGGACGATCCCTATTGAAATTGGAGATAATCGGTAAAAATTTAGATATAGCTCCCATATATAACTTCGTCCGATTTGCCTTTTATTGTGCACCAAACGTGTAATATCAGTCCGAATAGTATGGAATTTTGCACATACAGCCAAATTAGGCCTGAAAATATGTATGCCAAATTTGATCGAAATCGGTTCAGATATAGCTATAGCTCCCATATATATTGTTCATCCGATTTGTTATATTTGTCCTCCGCAGCCGTAATAAGCACTCTGTAACAACAATATTTGGGGAAATATACAAAATACAGCCCAGAAATACATGTGTCAAATTTTATCGAGATCGGTTCAGATTTGGATATATCTCCCATATATAACTTCGTCCGATTTACCTTTTATTGTGCACCAAACGTCTAATATTTGTGCAAATGGGATGAAATTTGGCACTTACGACCGAATTGAGTCTAGAATCTAGTATGCCAAATTTGATCGAAATCGGTTCAGATATAGCTATAGCTCCCATATATATTGTTCATCCGATTTGTTATTTTTGTCCTCCGCAGCCGTAATATGCACTCTGTAACAACAATATTTGGGGAAATATATCAAATGCAGCTCAGAAATACCTATGCTAAATTTTATCGAGATCGGTTCAGATTTGGATATAGCTCCCATATATAACTTCGTCCGATTTACCTTTTATTGTGCACCAAACGTTTAATATTTGCCCAAATGGGATGGAATTTGGCACTTACGACCGAATTGAGTCTAGAAGCTAGTATGCCAAATTTGGTGAATATCGGTTCAGATATAGCAATAGCTCCCATATATACTGTTCATCCGATTTGTTGTATTTGTTACCCACAGCCGTAATATGCACTCCGTAACAACAATATTTGGGGAAATATATCAAATACAGCTCAAAAATTTTATCGAGATCGATTCCGTTTTGGATATAGCTTCCATATATATCTTTATCCGATTTCAAATTAATTCTGCACCAAATGGGCAATACAAGTCCGAATTTAAAAGATACAAATGCTTCGGCATATTTAGTCTTTTGAATTTTAAATTATAATTATAATCATAGGGTGTATGATTGAATTCTCCCATAAAAACTTTTAATTGTTACGCGGAGCTCTACTAAATTAGCAAAGTGGTGTAGGGTATCATAAAGTCGGTCCCGCCCGACTTTAAGACTTTCTTTACTGGTTTTAATTTAAAAATATTTGTTTATTAATAGACAGTATTAAATTTAATATAATTTTTAAAATGCTCCCATTACCAAAAATATAAAAAATTTTCAAATCCGAGCAAAAAATAACAGGGCTGAAAAGTCCCGGTCTTTGAAAAAAAATTTTTTTTTAAAAAATTTTTTTTTTTTTTTTTTTTTGAAAAAAAAATAATTTCTCAATTACTCCTGTTAAATACAAAATTAATTTTTTTTTCATTTGTGAGCAAAATAGAAGAGGGCTGAAAAGTCCCGGTCTTAGTGAAAAAAATATATTTTTCTTCAATATGAGTTAAAATATTGAAAACTAATCCGAGAATACATGGTAGTATTTCCGCCTCTTCAAAAATATAAAATTTTTCCACATCCAAGCAAAAATGAGCAGGGCTGAAAAGTCTAGGTCTTTTCAAAAAATTTTTCCCCAAGGTTCTAATTTGCCACTTACCGTTTAAAAACCAGTTAACGATTTATATCTTCTGCGTCTCTAGTAACACGTTCGTTTCTTATAATAAAAATCTGTAAAGAAAAAAACAAAAAATGGAAAAATAATTCATTGAATTTGTAAAGAGCTTTATTGGAGAGAAAAAAAAAATTGAAAACAAATCCCTAAAAAGTCGTTAAAATTCCAATCTGGTTTTTTCAATTTTTTGCGTTTTAAAAAACCCAAATATTATCGAACAACAAAAATATTGGCAATTCCAAACAGCAGCCGGCAATAAAAAACAATCACTCAATTTTTTGGAATAAAGAGGGGTGGGGAGGGGAAAGGGGTATTAATGCCCTCCTCATTACTTGACATGAATTTAAACAATTTTTTTTTGTTTCAGATATCTCAAACATTTTGTTCGACACATTTTGCACTTGCTGCACATAGATCACACTGGCGATTATTATATTAAGCGGATTATTTCATTTCTGGCACATAACCTACAAAAGACAAAAAAAACAAGAAGTTATGATTTTTTTAATGGCCCCAACAATGCTCCTTGTGGCTGGGCAATGACTGGACACATTTTTTTTTTTGTTTGGGATTTTTTTTTTTATTTTTATTTTTTTTATTTTATTTTTTTTTTTTTTTGTTATTCAACTTTTGTGGATGTGACTTTGACATGACACACAGACAGCTGATGACTTAACCAAAGGAGAATTAACATAACGCCAACTGTGATTGGAATATGGGATTTAACAAAATAATGTCTATAAATTTATGACAGCTATAAATACGGAAGATCGGGTGGAAGGACGTGTGGCACTTGCTGGCAACTGCTGATTGCATTGCAGATTATTAAATCAAGTACTCCCTGACATATGGGAAGTGATCAATTGGGAAGATATGGATAGTCACATCACATGATCGAGGCTACGGAGCACGACGACTTGGGTAACTAGGATTGCGATTTTCAATAATCTGCAGTAACTAATGACAGAAATACAATTTTTATGCACTTGAAATATTTTCTTAGGAAATTCCATTCCATAAAATATTACAATTTTCCAATAATGAGCAATATTAAAAAGGGCTGAAAAGTCCCGGGCTTTTCAATATTTTTTACAATACTTTATTTAAATTAATATTCATAGCGAATTAAATGTAAAGTACCATATAAAATGGTGGCATTATAGAAAATTTAAAAAAATCCGTTTTCTAAAAAAAAGCAGGCAGGGCTGAAAAGTCCCGGTCTTTATAAAAATTGGAGAAATTTTAAATTTTTTTTTTTTTAATTTTTTTTTTTTATTAAAATTCATAGCGACTAAAATCTGAAATACTTTATAAAATCTTCCCATGACCAAAAAATTAAAAAAAAAATCAGTTTTCAAGAAAAAGGAGCAGGGCTAAAAAGTTCCGGTCTTAATAAAAATTGATGAAATTTTTCAATATATTTTTTTAAATTGAAATTCATAGCGACTTAAATGTAAACTACCTTTAAAATGGTCTCATTATAGAAAATATAAAAAAAATCCTTTTACGAGAAAAAACAAGCAGGGCTGAAAAGTCCCGGTCTTTAAAAAAATTGATGACATTTTTAAATATTTTTCCAATATGTTTTTTAAATTTGAAATTCATAGCAAATTAAATGTGAAATAATTCATTAAAAATTTTCCCATTTAAAAAAAAAATATAAAAATTATTTTACAAGAAAAAGTAGCAGGGCTGAAAAGTCCCGGTCTTTATAAAAGTTTATGACATTTTTCAATATCTTTTTTAAAATTGAAATTCATAGCGACTTAAATGTAAATTACCTTATAAAATGGTGGCATTATAGAAAATATAAAAAAATCCGTTTACGAGCAAAACTTAGCAGGGCTGAAAAGTTTCGGTCTTTATAAAAGTTGATGAAAATTTCCAATATTTTTTTAAAATTGAAATTCATAACGAATGAAATTTAAAATGGTTTCATTATAGAATAACATGGTTTCATTATAGAAAACAGGGCTGAAAAGTCCCGGTCTTTATAAAAGTTGAAGAAATTTTTCAATATTTTTTTACAATTTTTTTTAATTTAAAATCATAACGAATTGGTTGCAAAATAAGATTGTTGAATTACCAAAAATATAAATAAAACTCTACTTTATAAAAATTGCTGACATTTTTCAATATCTTTTTTTAAACTTGAAATTCATAACGAATTAATTGTGAAATACTTTTTAAAACGTTTCCATTATCAAAAATATAAAAAAATCCATTTACGAGCAAAAATGAAGAGGGCTGAAAAGTCCCGGTCTTTACAAAAAAATTGATGAATTTTTTCAATATTTTTTCAAAAGACTTTTTTTTAATAAAAAATCAAAGCGAAATGAATGTACAATACTTTATTAAATGTTCTCTCCATAAAAAAATATAAAAAAATTCTTTTAAGATCGAAAATAAGCAGGGCTGAAAAGTTCCGGTCTTTATAAAGTTGATGAAAATTTCCAATATTTTTTTAAAATTGAAATTTATAACGAATGAAATTTAAAATGGTTTCATTATAGAATAAAATGGTTTCATTATAGAAAATATAAAAAAAATCAGTTTACAAGAAAAATAATAAATAAATAATAATAATACGAATGAAATTTAAAATGGTTTCATTATAGAATAACATGGTTTCATTATAGAAAACAGGGCTGAAAAGTTCCAGTCTTAATAAAAATTGATGAAATTTGTCAATATTTTTAAAAAATTTTTTTTTTATTAAAATTCATAGCGAATAAAATCTGAAATACTTTATAAAATCTTCCCATGACCAGAAAGTTAAAAAAATCAGTTTTCAAGAAAAGGGAGCAGGGCTGAAAAGTTCCGGTCTTTATTAGAGATAATGACATTTTTCAATATTTTTTTAAAAGATTTTTTTAATTAAAATTCATACCAAATTAAATGTAAACTACTTTATAAAATGTTCGCATTACCAAAAGTATAAAAAATTCCGTTTTCAAAGAAAACTGAGCAGGGCTGAAAAATTGATTTTAATAAAAATTGATGAAATTTGTCAATATTTTTTAAAAAGATTTTTTTTAATTAAAACTCATAGCAAATTGAAGACAAAATACTTCATAAAATTTTTGAATTACCAAAAATGTAAAATAAACTCTATTTACGAGAAAAATTAGCAGGGCTGAAAAGTCCCGGTCTTTATAAAAGTTGATATTTTTCAGTATTTTTTATATATATATTTTTATAAAATGTTTCCAATATCAAAAATATGAAAAAAGTCCATTTACGAGCAAAAATGAACAGGCCTGAAAAGTCCCGGTCTTTACAAAAATATATGAAATTTTTCAATATCTTTTTTAAAATTGAAATTCATAGCGACTTAAATATAAACTACCTTATAAAATGGTCTCATCATAGAAAATATAAAAAATTTCGTTTTCGAGGAAAACTGAGCAGGGCTGAAAAGTCCCGGTCTTTATAAAAGTTGATGAAAATTTCCAATATTATTTTAAAATTGAAATTCATAGCGAATTGAATGCAAAATACTTCATAAAATTTTTGAATTACCAAAAATATAAAAAAAAATTCTATTTACGAGCGAAAATGAACAAGGCTGAAAAGTCCCGGTCTTTTTAAAAATTGATGATATTTTCCAGTATTTTTTTTTATATATATTTTTTTTAAATTGAAATTCATAGCGAATTAATAGTGAAATACTTTATAAAATGTTTCCATTATCAAAAATATAAAAAAATTCCATTTACGAGCAAAAATGAAAAGAGCTGAAAAGTCCCGGTCTTTACAAAAATTTATGTAATGTTTTCAATATTTTTTTTAAAAATATTTTTTTTTTATTAAAATTCATAGCAAATTAAATGTAAAATACTTTATAAAATGTTCTCATTATCAAAAAATTTAGAAAACTCAGTTAACAAGAAAAAGGAGCAGGGCTGAAAAGTCCCGGTCTTAATAAAAATTGATGAAAATTTTCAACATCTTTTTTAAAATTGAAATTCATAACGAATGAAATGTAAACTACCGTATTAAATGGTCTCATTATAGAAAATATAAAAAAAATCCTTTTATGAGTAAAAATTAGCAGGGCTGAAAAGTTTCGGTCTTAATAAAAATTAATGAAATTTGTCAATATTTTTTTTTTTAATTTTTTTTATTTAAAAATCATAACGAATTAAATCTGATATACTTTATAAAATGTTCTTATTACCAACAAATTAAAAAAATTAGTTTTCAATTAAAAGGAGCAGGGCTGAAAAGTCCTGGCCTTTAAAAAAATTGATGAAAATTTTCAACATCTTTTTTAAAATTGAAATTCATAGCGAATTAATTGTGAAATACTTTATAAAATGTTTCAAGAATATAAAAAATATTTTACGAGCAAAAATTTAAGGGCTGAAAAGTCCCGGTCTTTACAAAAATTCATGACATTTTTCAATATTTTTTTAAAAGTTTTTCTTAATTGATTTTTTTTTAAATTTTTTTATTCAAATTCGTAGCGAATAAAATCTGAAATACTTTATAAAATTTTCCTATTACCAAAAAATTAAAAAAATCAGTTTTCAAAAAAAAAGGAGCAGGCCTGAAATGTCCCGGTTTTAATAAAAATAATGAAAATTGTCAATATTTTTTTAAAAGATTTTTTTTAATTAAAAATCATAGCGAATTGAATGCAAAATACTTCATAAAATTTTTGAATTACCAAAAATATTAAAAAATCAGTTTACGAGTAAAAATAAGCAGGGCTGAAAAGTTACGGTCTTTAAAAAAATTGATGAAATTTTTAAACATTTTTTTTTCAATATATTTTTTAAATTGAAATTCATAGCAAATTAAATGTGAAATAATTTATAAAATGTTCCCATTATAAAAAATAAAAAAATCATTTTACGAGAAAAAGTTAAGAGGGCTGAAAAGTCCCGGTCTTTATAAAATTCGATGAAATTTTTCAATATCTTTTTTTTTAAATTGAAATTCATAGCGAATTAATTGTGAAATAATTTATAAAATGTTTCCATTATCAAGAATATAAAAAATTCCTTTTAAGAGCAAAAATAGAAAGGGCTGAAAAGTTCCGGTCTTTATA